AGCTGGGTCAGACTGGGCGATGGGGCGGACTTGGACGAAGCGGCCGGGGCGGTGACGACGGGGTTGACGGCGTTGCAGAGCATCCAGCCGTACGTCAAGGCCGGGGACAGGGTCTTCATCAATGGCGGCAGCGGCGGCACGGGCACGCATGGGATTCAGATTGCGAAGCTGCTCGGCTGCCACGTCACCGTCTCATGCTCGACGGCCAAGGTGGAATTTTGTCGAGGGCTAGGGGCTGACGAGGTGATTGACTACAAAATCGAAGACGTGGTTGCGAGTCTCGTCAAGCAAAGTGGGAGCGCCGGCGCGGAGAAGTGGGATCTCATCGTCGACAACATCGGCAACTCGCCCACAGACCTGTACAAGCGGTCTCACGAGGTCCTACGCGACGGCGGCGTTTATGCTTATGTCGGCGGGCGCGTGTCGGCGGGGAGCATGTGGAACATCGTGCGCGGACGGCTGCTGCCGGGATTTCTTGGGGGCCAGAGGAGGCGGTTCGTGCTGGTCATGGCGCAGCAGTCGACGGAGTATGTGAGGCCGATCGTGGACTGGATGGCGGACGGCAAGTTGAAGACGGTGGTGGATTCAAAGTTCGAGTTTGGCCAGGTGAAGGAGGCGTATGAGAGGCTGAAGACGGACAGGTGTCAGGGGAAGGTGATTGTAAAGGTGGTGGGAAGGGAGGAGTAGGGACGAGGCGGGGGGAATATGACACAGGAGGAGTGGTAGGATGATGGGTGGACGGAGGACAGGACGGAGGAGTGCTGGCCCATGAGATGTGTTGTACTGCATGTTTGTAGAACATAGTCATCTTCTTTAGCCTTGACCATTTCAACTTATTATACAAACTGGATCCTTCGACAGCTTACTCTGATGTTCAAATAGTGTTTCGACTTCGTTAAATGTCTGCCCTCTTTTCCCAGCCAAGTTCTTGCTAAATCCCTCTCCCATTTTAACACGTGCGCCCAAGAGGGCCAGCGCGCGATGGCACTGGCCGACAGGGAATTCTCTGACGGAGCGGAGTATGCCTGCGATGGTAGACGACGGTCTGGAGCGCAAGAAACCAGAAGGCACATCTTCCCATGCCGGAAGCTCTGTTCATGCTCCAGTAGTCCTGGTACCCAGCTCCGGGGCCGTTCACCATGACACTTCATGCGGCCGGCCGGCAGGCTGGCTAGCTCCGAGAATAGAGTAGCGCGTCTGTGGGTGGCATTGATATCGAAAACTATCTCCATGGCACTACTCGACATCCTTCTATTCTCCTTCCATCGTCCTTTTCCTCGTCTCATTAGGACCTGCCCTGGCTCTGGCATCAGGTTTTCGTCGCCGGCTGTCAAGAGCGTCCTGATGCGAGAGGTGGCCATGCGTGCTTGAACTGTCGACGCTGGCATCCGAGGTACTCACGTCGGTTTCAGTCCGAGCCGACGAGCCGAAACGACTTCGATATCGGTCTTGCGACACTTGGCGGAGCGATTCGTCCGTCATCGAACCGATCAACTGCGCCGACCTGCCCTTTGATAGCGCCTTTTTGACGTCGAAAACGTCTGCCCACGTTGTGACGACAACTTGATCGCTATCCCCATCGGCGATGACCTCGCCAATGGTGTGTATCCTCTGACGGGACACCTCACCAGAGGCAAGTTTGCAGACCTCTAGACATTGAACCGAAGCCCTGATGTCCTGTTCTAATTGATTCCTCCCCAGCTCGCCGCCAGAGTTCCCATCCGACGCCAGCCGTTCTAGGCGCTCTCGGAGACGACCGATGTGTTCGGCGATGCTATCTCGGTTCTCGCCGAGGATCTTGTGTGTCTCGCGGCGCACTTCGAGATAAGGCGACTCAGTCGCCGCGAGATCCGGTGGCGGCGTTTGCACCTGGGCCTGGCGCTCTTGCTCAATCAAAGAGTCGAGATACGACTGAGCATCCTCGCATATGCGAATGCAGTGCGAAGTCACTGCTCGCTCGTCTTCAAGGTCAATGTCAGATGTGTTGGGAATCTCAGACGTCAACAGCGCCATCTTTTCGTCAATGCGCTGCAGATGGATTTTGAGATCGTATGAGGTATTCTGCACCATCTCGCTGTAGCGCTCCAGTACGTCATGGCTGGCCTTGGACATTTGCCTGTGACGGGGAATTCAGTCGCAGTCCATCGATCGCACTGGATAGGATGACATACAATGTAAGCGTGCCTAGGCCAACAGAAATCGTCGACTTGTATCCAGAAAGAGTGTCCATGACAGTCCCATGCCACCAATACAACGCCAGGTTCTGGCACCAGTGGACGGCTGTGGTGGCACGTATCCACCACGCGCCCATCCCGGCCGTTACTGGGAAGGGCAATGATGCAAGATTTTCCCCCAAACCGAGACCTGTCTCCCATCCCTTTGGTGCCAAATAATTTCAATACACCAAATAGTCGACAATGAAACGCCAGAAACGAACATCAACCAGTCAAGTCTTTAGACATATTGTCATGGTCCTGCATGTCAACCACAGTGACAACGCTGTGAATCTATTAGGACCTGAGGGAGGTATAAGACTAATGGGAGATCGCCTTTTGTAAAATCGTAGAAACTAATAAGAGAGGACCGAGCGTAGCGAGGGAACAGTTCTAAGAAAGGTTAATGGACTAAGTTTTAGAGAAGGGTATCGATTACTTCCATCTTCCTCGAAACCCCTACGAGACTAATAGTTAACCCCTTCACTCGCTATATAAGATTCCTTGACAGAATCGCTGGTGTACGGGGCCAAAGCTTGAAAGCTTGTCAAAACATGGTTCTGTGTTCATTCAACCTGAATCTTTGCTCAGGTCCCGTAACTCCTTGCCGACACTCCTAAGCCACTCCCTTGCACGTTGGATGACGTTGGGACTGCGCAACGCACGCATTTCATGGAATGCTTTAGCCTTACGCATGTGATCGGCTATCCCCTCAACCACTAACTTCGTTTCCCCGTCGTCGAGGTCCGCCTCGACGATCGCTGCAGTCAGGTAAAAGGTGAAGCGCTCGAATGGATACCCTTGTTCATCTGTTGGTACAGGCTGAACTTCATGGGCAACTAACGCTGTGTAAACCCAGCGTCCTCGCTCCGACCTTTTGTGTCCTTGTTTCGCTCTTCGAGTAAGGTGCTCCGAATAATCCCAAAGTAGGCAGCACTGTTGCGCAGGAACGGGCAGTTGGAAGCGGCGGACCAGATCATCAGCAATTTGAGCCAATTCCCAGCGAAAGGTGATCATGGCAACAGGATCGAAATCTGGTTCGTGTATTGGGTTTTCTTCCATTGCTAGCCACAAGCCGCCCCGTGTGATCGGCCCCCAACCGCTGTCCCAGTCACCAGGGCAAGTTTGGAGGAACAAGGCGGCCATGACTTTCAACCGATTGTGACAGATGCTCTCGATGAGGTCACCAATGAGTGATTCGGCCTCGGTATCGGCACCCACACCCGTTTTTGTTTTGTCGGTTGAGGCCGAGTAAGTCGGGTTACCAGGATGTGGATCCATTAGTGCCTTCACGTCAGACGGACCATTGTACCCGACGGTGGGTAGCTTGTTCCAGCGTTGCTCAAAATGCCCCAGGGGGATACCTGATCGACCGGTCCAAGAGTTTCCCCAATGGTCATTTTGGGCGCTAAAAGTAAACTCTTGCTCGTACCATAGACGATGAACTCGATCTGCGCAACAAGTGAGAATAGAGTCGCAGAACGTGTTGTATGTGGCTGTTTGAGTGTCGCTCGGCTCCGTAGGTTGAAGCATGTTGGAGTCGCCAGCGCAGCCATCACCGAGAGAGTCGATTAGAGGAGTTGAATTGCACGTCAATGCCTCGATAACCGCGCTGGCGAAAACCGATCCACAAGCACGGCTAATGCTGCGGGAGTCTTGCCACGCGTTTGACGTTGTATTTCTACTAGCCGCAGCCAACATACTGGTGTTTAATGGGCTATGCCAGTGATCAGAAGTTGTCTTGACGACCCACCCTCCCGAGTGGCATGCAGTCGTGTAAACAGTATAGCGGCAGCCTGGTTCAATGGCTCCGTCAAGGGTCGTTGGCGTAATTCCTTTCGACTTTTCCCCACAGTCGAGTAACATGGTGAGGTTCGGCAGCCCATGACAGAAGACGAGAAGAAGTAACGGAACCTGTTGCTTCACTGCTTGTTTCGAGGCTTGCCGTACTTCACGGAGGAACTGAGCGATCATATTATTGCTGCGAACAACCGTGACCCGCGTCAATTCCCCGCTCTTGAGTAGATCGTTGCTCAACACAACCTTGCGTTCCTGGTAAGGGTTGCCGTGCAAATAAACTGGGAATCGAGGGTCTGCTTTGAGGAGCTTCACCGGATCCTTCGTCAAGTCAGTGATCAATTTTCCACGGTATCAAGTGCAAGTGGCCATGGAGCAGCTCTACGCGGCGGACTTACAGCAGCTGTGAGCCATGTTTGTGATGAACCGAGACCGTGGAGCAGGTAGTTGAAAGCGTAGAAATCAGAGAGAAACCACCCGTCCTCTTTCTGATGGCCTTTGATGACATTTGGCGAAGTAGCTGCTACGATGATCGTGTCCTTCTCGATGACCGGTGGAGTACACGAGATAAACCAATTAGGCGGTGCACAGCCTTCGTCTGGTCCCGGATATCGAGTGCCATCCATGACGCCGCCTGTGACAAGTGGATTTGGCATCTTGTCAAGATCTCTGTGATCAGAATAAATTCCTCCTACAGGGAGATATCGTTGATTCTAGATTCAGGAGGGAAATACCTGTGCCGAATGTAAGAGAATGGAGTATGGTGCTTCCTGATCCAAGGTAGGAAGAGGATTGTGCTTTTAAATGCAGGCACGGCGGTGGCATTCACCAGGAAGGTACTCAAAGTTAATTTTAATCAGGTAGGTTCAAAGCCTACGGTCAGGTAATTACCTTGAACATTCTTCAGCCACATTATATTGCAGTGCACAGCCTCCGCATTCCCCATCACAGCGGTTCGCGGGAATCAAGGTGCATATTGAACTAATAACAGGGAATAGCCTGGGGCGGTGATCACCGTATGGGATTCGCCGATATGGTGATTACTGGGGCCGGCATCCATAGCTCCTAGGAGTATGTGAATCACGGCGTAGGTAAGCAGTGCACATAGATAGTATAGGAGTTAGGGTCTTGTGACCCATGTAGCAGCTGAAATAACGGCTAGATTATACTTCGTATGTCGTCACGTCCGACCTCTTCATCGCAATTCTTACAGTCTATATGAGATCTCACTTCAAGGCCAGCGAGATCGCCATGTTACTCGATGCTACTTCGATCTTGAGCAGCGTTGTCATCCAGCTTGCTCAGAAAATGGGGCTTTTTTCGCGATGGCGAGAGACTCGGCTTTCCATCTTTCGGAACAGAAATGCGACGGCGTCTGTGGTGGCCTCTAGTCATGCTCGATCACAAATACTCTCTGTTCTCGGGATTGAATAGCGAGTTCGTGTCTCCTGATTGGGACACCAAGCTTCCTCAGAACATCAACGACAGCGACATTTCGCCCATATCTACAGCAGTCAAGCCACAGGCTGGCCCTACGGAGATGGTCTTCAGGTTGGTGGTTTCTCAGGTAGCCAACTTCATCAAAGATGATCCCTTGGACGGCTTAGGACTTGCCCTCCGAGTACAGGGGGCCGAGCCTGGCACTACGGAGTATGAAGTGTCTGTAGCTGGTCTTCAGAAGTTCCACAACGACTTCGAATGCCTTGAAGCAAGACTCCTCTGCATCGAGAAGCAGTACTGCGACCCTTCCGCCGAGCCCATACATCTAGCTGCCTCATGTGTGCGTCGTTCCATAATAGAAAAGGTCCGACGTATAGCTCTTCCAATGCGCGAGACGCCAGAGTGGGGGACAGATGTCTGCAACGTCCAGGACAACATCTTCCGCATATGGCTCACCCACCACGAATCCATCGTGGAAATGATTCATGGTTGCGTCGACTTCGCTTGGTATTACAAGAGTCATTTCCATATTGACTCGTTGCTTTTCTTGCTCGGCCAGCTCTTCAAACGGCGCCCCGTCGGCCCCTTTGCCGAACGTGCGTGGCGCCTCATCGACCTCTCCTATCAGCACCACAAAGGGCTCTGGGACGTGTCCCACAGCCGACACATCGACATAGATTCTTTCGTCCTCGGCCTGTGGTAGTCCCGTGAGAGAGATCTGTCTGAGACGAACGCGTCTATCGAGGTTCCTCTTTGCGTCGCTAATCTGCGAATTCTTCTATCGGCATCACATGTCGAGCAGACCATTCCAGACTGGACATCTCAACAGGACAACGGCCACAATGTTCTTGACGATCCCTGTTTCAACACAATGCATGCACCATGTGCAAGTTACACAGAAAACCTCGAGCAGGAATGGCCCATGACATCTGATCTCGATTTCTTCTTGGTCATTGCGGAAAGTTTTCGTGTCTCATACTCATACCCGCTGTCAGCATCTCCGGCGGACAGCATTCTCGACGACCTGCGCACAAATTCGTAATTCGAGGAGCAACACTGGGTGCCTGCGCTCGAGCATCCCAACGTGAATTCGAACAGCCTCGCGTGAATTAAACCACTCACTGGCTCCAAGTCTCACCCTAGTGCATTCCCCAGCCCCTCCGATCGATCGCTGTTACAAGCGTACGCAGCCGGGCCGGTCCCCGACTCTCTATTCAGCACGACATGCGACATGCAGAGTCTCGTACAGCGAAAGCGAATATCGCGTGTGACTCGCAACAAGCCCGCGGAAAGAGGTTTACAGCGGGCAACGATCAGGAGAGGTACCTTTGATATCAGCACGGCTTACACAAACACAATCTGAGAAAGACTTGCGCAAACGCGGCGCAGTCCACGAAGTGATGATGTCAAGTAGTCTTTTCATCTGAACCTCGAATATGACAATCCAGCACTGTCGAATGTATCTAGCTTTAGCACGTCTGAAACCCCCCTTTCCCCAAATTTACTTTTCATCCCGCGCATCCACATGCGCGACATCAGCATCCTCATCCAGCTTCTCCTGCAGAACAACAGCCTGGGCGGGGACGGCATCTTCGCCGTCAAAGACGACGGCCATCTGCTCGAGCGTGTGGCCCTTTGTCTCGGGAACGACGAACCAGACAAAGACGATCCAGAGCAGAAGCAGCACGCAGAACAGGATGTAGTATTTCCAGCCGAGCTGCTCGAGGGCCAGGCCGTTGACAAAGGTGTTGAGGAAGATGGAGGCGAGCGCTGTGATCCACGTGACGGTGAGCCCGCGGGAGCGGAGGCTGAACTGCCAGATCTCGACGGGGTAGGCCACGAGGAACGGGGTGCTGTGATCAGACAATTCGTTAGCGACGCTCTGTACAGTCCGTGTTTGGGAATGCGGTGGGTGCGACTTACAGGGCAATGTCATAGCCGGCGAAGAAGAGGAAGAGGAACGGAATGACGGCCAGGCCGACGCTGGAGGATCCGCCCTGCGCGAAGGAACCGCTGAGACCGGTGACGATGACGAAGCTGACGAACATGAGGACGGCGGACGCGAGGAACAGAGGGCGCCGGCCGAGGCGGTCGACGGACGCGGCGGCGGCGATGGCCCACAGCAGGTTCCACACGTTGAGGCAGGCGTTGATCAGGGTCTGGTTGGTCACGGAGGTGACGCCGACAGAGTTGAGCACGAGGGGCAGGTAGTAGGAAACGACACCGTTGCCGGCCCACTGGGAGATGAAACCGAGTCCGACAGAGATGGCCAGCCTGTGGCGGTTGCCGGGGGTGCGGGACATGTCGAGGTACGAGCCGCTGTTGCTGGCCTCCTTCTCGGCATTGATCGTGGTCTCGATCTCGATCATCTGGGAGACAACAATGGGGTCTTCAATGACACCGCCGGCGTGGTACTCGGCCAGGACCTTAGCTGCGTCCTCGGTGCGGCCGACGCTGATGAACCAACGCGGGCTCTCGGGGGCCATGAGGAAGCCGGGCAGGGCGACGAGAGGCAGGGCGATCTGGAGAAGAATGGGGATGCGCCAGGCCCAGTCCGAGTCCAAGTTCCTCGTGCCAAAGGTGACCCACGAGGAGATGGTGCCGCCGACGTAGTAGCCGCACATGTAGAGCGCGCTGGCGATGGCGCGGTGGGTTGGGTATGCGATCTCGTTGAGCAGGACGGGGGCGGAGATGCTCAGCCAGGCGGACGAGATGCCAATGAGAAGACGGGCGTAGGTGAACATCTTCTCGTTCTGCGCAGCGGCCTGGATGCCGACGCCGAGGACGACAAAGGCATAACCGATGTAAATGCCAGGCTTGCGACCCCAGCGGTTGGAGACCCAGGCGCCGGCAGGGAAAGCAAGACCGCTGCCAAGGAAGTAGATGGCGTTGATCCAGCCGAGATAGGTGCCGGTGGGTAGATCCATGAATTCGTTCCAGCTCTTGAGGGCGAGGACACCGCCCATGACGCTACCGTCATATGACGTTGGCGAAG